GGATGACCTAAGATTACGGTTATCCTACCAACGGGACATTAAAAACTGTAATATCTTATGTTTCACCAAGTCGTGGCTGAACGACGACATGGACAACATACAGCTAGCTGCATCGGCAGGATAGAACGGCTGACTCCGGTAAGACAAGGGGTGGCGGTCTGTGTATATTTGTAAACAACAGCTGGTGCACAAAATCAAATACTAAGGAAGTCTCAAGGTTTTGCTCGCCTGAGGTAGAGTATCTTATGATAAGCTGTAGACCACACTATTTACCAAGAGAGTTTTCATCTATATTTTTCATAGCTGTCTATTTACCACCACAAACCAATGCTGGCATTAAGATTGCACTGAATGAGCTGTATAAGGCCATAAGTGAACAGGAAAACGCTCATCCAGAGGCAGCGCTCCTAATGGCCGGGGACTTTAATGCAGGGAAACTTAAATCCGTTCTACCTAATTTCTACCAGCATGTTAAATGTGCAACCAGAGGAAAAAAAACTCTAGACCACCTTTACTCCACACACAGAGATGCATACAAAGCTCTCCCTCGCCCTCCATTTGGCAAATCTGACCATAACTCTATCCTCCTGATTCCTGCTTATAAGCAAAAACTAAAGCAGGAAGCACCAGTGACTCAGTTAATAAAAAAGTGGTCAGACGACGCAGATGCTAAGCTACAGGACTGTTTTGCTAGCACAGACTGGAACATGTTCCGGGATTCTTCAGATGGCATTGAGGAGTACACCACATCAGTCACTGGCTTCATCAATAAGTGCATCGATGATGTCGTCCCCACAGTGACCGTACGTACATACCCCAACCAGAAGCCATGGATTACAGGCAACATCCGCACTGAGCTAAAGGGTTGAGCTGCCGCTTTCAAGGAGCGGGACTCTAACCCGTACGCTTATAAGAAATCCCGCTATGCCCTCCGACGAACCATCAAACAGGCAAAGAGTCAATACAGGACTAAGATTGAATCGTACTACACCGGCTCTGACGCTCATCGGATGTGGCAGGGCTTGAAAACTATTACAGACTACAAAGGGAAGCACAGCCGCGAGCTGCCCAGTGACACAAGACTTCCAGACGAGCTAAACCACTTCTATGCTCGCTTCGAGGCAAGCAACACTGAAGCATGCATGAGAGCACCAGCTGTTCCGGATGACTATGTGATCACGCTCTCCGTAGCCAATGTGAGAAAGACTTTTAAGCAGGTCAACATTCACAAGGCCGCAGGGCCAGACGGATTACCAGGACGTGTATTCCGAGCATGTGCTGACCAACTGGCAAGTGTCTTCACTGACATTTTCAACATGTCCCTGACTGAGTCTGTAATACCAACATGTTTCAAGCAGACCCCCATAGTCCTAAGACACTAAGATAACCTGCCTAAATGACTACCGACCCGTAGCACTCACGTCTGTAGCCATGAAGTGCTTTGAAGGGCTGGTCATGGTTCACATCAACACCATTATCCCAGAAATCCTAGACCCACTCCAATTTGCATACCGCCCCAACAGATCCACAGATGATGCAATCTCTATTGCACTCCACACTGCCGTTTCCCACCTGGACAAGAGGAACACCTACGTGAGAATGCAATTCATTGACTACAGCTCAGCATTCAACACCATAGTGCCCTCAAAGCTCATCACTAAGCTAAGGATCCTGGGACTAAACACCTCCCTCTGCAACTGGATCCTGGACTTCCTGACGGGCCGCCCCCAGGTGGTAAGGGTAGGTAACAACACATCTGCCACACTGAGCCTCAACACGGGGGCCCCTCAGGGGTGCGTGCTTAGTCCCCTCCTGTACTCCCTGTTCACCCATGACTGCATGGCCAGGCATGACTCCAACACCATCATTAAGTTTGCCGATGACACAACAGTGGTAGGCCTAATCACCGACAACGATGAGACAGCCTATAGGGAGGAGGTCAGAGACCTGGCCGTGTGGTGCCAGGATAACAACCTCTCCCTCAACGTGACCAAGACAAAGGAGATGATTGTGGACTACAGGAAAAAAAAGAGGACTGAGCACGCCCCCATTCTCATCGACGGGGCTGTAGTGGAACAGGTTGAGAGCTTCAAGTTTCTTGGTGTCCACATCACCAACGAACTATCATGGTCCAAACACACCAAGACAGTCGTGAAGAGGGCACGACAAAGCCTATTCCCCCTCAGGAGACTGAAAAGATTTGGCATGGGTCCTCAGATCCTCAAAAATGTCTACAGCTGCACCATCGAGAGCATCCTGACTGGTTGCATCACCGACTGGTATGGCAACTGCTCGGCCTCCGACCGCAAGGCACTACAGAGGGTAGTGCGTACGGCCCAGTATATCACTGGGGCCAAGCTTCCTGCCATCCAGGACCTCTATACCAGGCGGTGTCAGAGGAAGACCCTCAAAATTGTCAAAGACTCCAGCCACCCTAGTCATAGACTGTTCTCTCTGCTACCGAACGGCAAGCGGTACCAGAGTGCCAAGTCTAGGTCCAAAAGACTTCTCAACAGCTTCTACCCCCAAGCCATAAGACTCCTGAACAGCTAATCATGGCTACACTGACTATTTGCACTGCCCCCCCACCCCCACCCCCACCACATCTTTTTACGCTGCTGCTACTCTGTTAATTATTTATGCATAGTCACTTTAACTCTACCCACATGTACATATTACTTCAACTACCTCAACTAGCCGGTGCCCCCGCACATTGACTCTGCACCGGTACCCCCCTGTATATATAGCCTCCCTACTGTTATTTTATTTTACTTCTGCTCTTTTTTTCTCAACACTTTTTTGTTGTTGTTTTATTTTACTTTTTTATAAAAAAAATAAATGCACTGTTGGTTAAGGGCTGTAAGTAAGCATTTCACTGTAATGTCTGCACCTGTTGTATTCGGCACATGTGGCCAATAAAATTTGATTTGATTTGATTTGTATTTGGGGATTTTCTCCCATTCTTCTCTGCAGCTCCTCTCAAGCTCTGTCAGGTTGGATGGGGAGCATTGCTGCACAGCTATTTTCAGGTCTCTCCAGAGATGTTCGATCAGGTTCAAGTCCGGGCTCTGGCTGGGTCACTCAAGGACATTCAGAGACTTGTCCCAAAGCCACTCCTGCGTTGTCTTGGCTGTGTGTTAGGGTCGTTGCCCTGTTGGAAGGTGAACTTTCGCCCCAGTCTGAGGTCCTGAGCGCTCTGGAGCAGGTTTTCAGGCCAAAGAGTTCAATCTTGGTTTCATCAGACCAGGGAATCTTTAGGTGCCTTTTAGCAAACTCCAAGTGGGCTGTCATGTGCCTTTTACTGAGGAGTGGTTTCCATCTGGCCACTCTACCATAAAGGCCTGATTGGTGGAGTGCTGCAGAGATGGTTGTCCTTCTGGAAGTTTCTCCCATCTCCACAGAGGAACTCTAGAGCTCTGTCAGAGTGACCATCAGGTTCTTGGTCACCTCTCTGACCAAGGCCCTTCTCCCCCGATTGCTCAGTTTTCGCTTTGTCATTATGGGGTATTGTTAGTAGATTGCTGAGGATTTATTTATTTTTTAAATCCATTTTAGAATAACAAAATGTGGAAAAAGTCAAACGGTCTGAATACTTTCCAAATGTACTGTAGCCTCCTCATCATAGAAACTCAGATCTCTCCCTGCTCGAGTGTTTCGCCCATTGATTTCTCTCAGCAGAAATCAATTTAGGTGGAAGACCATAATAAATTACTCCAATCTGTTTTCATTGAGAGGTTCCTGAAATGTGTTTCCCTGTGGTAGGAAGTAGGGCAGTATTGGTTGGACATGTGATAGTGGGAGAGTACCTCAGAGAGGAGGAGTTCCACACAATACATAATAATACAACTACTCTTCACTCTTTCTCTTCCTCGTACTCAAAAATGTAATCCAACATACTACAGAATGATTACCCTTCTTTCTGTTCTGAAAGTTGAAAAGATGAGATGATGAGATCCTAAACTCAGACCCTGGACCTGGCTGTGTCAGCAGACCTACTCTGGGCTACTGCAGCCTGCTGACTCCTCTCAGACCCGGCCCATGAAAACTTTCCCAGGGTCAATAAAGGCCCCTGAAGAAATGTGATGTGTGTCAATAAAGGAAGAAGGAGGGTCTTACTGTAACATCAAGGTCTTTACAGAGCTTATCACAGTATCATCCCATCTTATCAAAGTGGCCGTGTGAAAATATCTGTGCGAGAAAGGCAGTGTTTACCCAGCTTTCAGCAGTGTACAATTGAAAAGAAATATGATCTATTGTACACATATGCATTTATGATATGTGTTTAGCTCAGAGGATTTGTGGACTATGGATCTTTTTGACTGTATGTTTGCATAGTTTGACAGTCGAGTGTATGATAGCTTAGACAATATATAGATATATATATTATATATATATATATATATATATATATATATATATAGAAAAGAGCGAGAGAGAGAGAAGAGAGGAGAGAGAGAGATAGAGAGAGCAGAGCGATAGAGAGAGAGAAGAGCTCGCAAGATACAAAGCTCGCAAGAGAGAGCGCGCTCGCTCCGCGACGCTCGCGCTCGATCGCGCCTGCTCGCGCTCTCTCTCTCCTCTCTGCTGCTAGCGATGCCGCGCCACCTAGCTTCACGAGAGAACAATATGCTTACCATATGAAAGGGTAAAAAAGAGAAGTCCACAAAGCGAGAGAGGAAGGGCGAGTAAGCCAGAGAAAAGCATAGTTATTCACAGAAGGAGGTGGAGAACAGACAGAGTGTGTGAAAAGAGGGAGGGAGGGAGGAGGATCTTTACAGTCAGGCACATGCTCACACAGATATAGTACATACAGACCTAAACAAACCCATGCATTCTAATGGGCATGCAGACCTATTTAGAGACCTGAGACACAGCAGCAGCAGCAGTTCCTGTTGTGTTTTTAGGGACAGTAGAAAACAGAGTGTAGTCAGGCCTCTGACCCTCGTCTGGTCAATATACACACAGAGACAAATATACCTGTACTCTGTTTTTGGAGTCAGAGTTTTGGAGTTATGACTGACTTCAGGATGACTAAGAGTGGCCATGTGTTCCTCAGTCCTGCGGTTATTACATGGGGCCAGAGGAGACGACACAGTGATGTAAGTATTCATTCTTACTATTGCATATGATTAAGAGACTGAGAGATAATGTAGTCAGATAACTGTGATCTTAGGTATCTTACAGTGTAGTGTTATAGATACACATCTGTTCACCATTACTCTGTAGCAGTCAGAAGAGCTGCTCTCACTTGACTGTAAGTCTTATCATTTTATATTTTAGTCATTTAGCAGACGCTCTTATCCAGAGCGACTTACAGTTAGTGACTGCATACATTATTTTTATTTTGGCCCCCAGTGGGGCCAACTCTACCAACTGAGCTACATCCCTGCCGGCCATTCCCTCCCCTACCCTGGACGATGCTGGGCCAATTGTGCGCCACCCCATGGGTCTCCCGGTCGCGGCCGGCTACGACAGAGCCTGGATTCGAACCAGGATCTCTAGTGGCACAGCTAGCACTGCGATGCAGTGCCTTAGACCACTGCGCCACTCGCCACTTATATTGATGTGTAATTTCTCATGTGGACAGAGATTGGTTTTGGTAGCACTCCATTTCCAGTAGCTACAGAGACAGTGGAGAGGCTAGGAAAGGAGATCATTAGGTCAGGGTCGGTCTTTACTGCTGTTTCCAGTCCCGTCACTTTCACTCGTTACCATGGCAGTACCTCTCAATGGTCTGTTTGTCTCTGGCAGAGAGTTCAGTCACCCCACACATGTAGGTTACTACTGCACTCACATGTTTGGTAGAGGGGTTGGTGAGGTGAATATTTTTGTATGCAAAACAGTAATATTTCTGTTTTGGGTTCCGATCCTCACTGATTATTTGGTCCATGTTAGTTTGCACTCATGTTTGCTTTCAAGGCAGCAGTATGATCTGCCAGCGTATTATATGACACTGTTTGTTCACACAGGGAACAATGGGTTGCACCCATGGCTTTATTAAAACAAGCCAGTGTTGGTCAGTATGTGCCCCTACAGTAAGTTTTGGTGTGCTCATAGTAAATTAATGTTGTCATGTGGAAACATTAGCTTGACACCCTAGTCCACTTGTGTTACATGGTACAGAGAGTGCCTCACTGGACAACAAGCTGGGCTGTCATTGGCTATCTCACCCAATAGCACAGTCTTTAATTGGTAACTTCCCTAGTCCATGTGTTGTGGTCAGGATGGAACTGCCCAGCATCAGGATAGTGGGCTTCGTGGAGAACAACTGCCTGGCTGTGGGTATTCCTTCTCTTATCTTGGATAGAATAGATCCTCAAGCCTCAGTAGAGTACAACTGCTTGACAGTGAGTATCCTTTCTCTTTATGAGTTCTTGTATTTTTACATTTGAGTAATTTGCAGATGCTCTTATGCAGAGAAATTAGGGTTAACTGCCTTGCTCAACAGCACATCGCCACATTTTTCACCTAGTCAGCTCGGGGATTTGAACCAGTGACCTTTCAGTTACTGGCCCAATACTCTTAAGCGCTAGGCTACCTGCCGCAACCTTATCTGGGATAGAATGGATTATGCAGTTAATGGGAGCTGATAGTGAATAGAGTTTGTAATGAGGTTACAGCACTGGTGTTGATTTTTGGTTAAAGGAGTCTGGAAGTGATGGATCTTTGGCTCACTTCCAGCAGGACTTGTACAGTACACTACTATTGATTAGAAATTAACAGGGCTGACAGACGGGGGGTAATATTAGACCCCATGCATCTAATTTGTTTTCATTTTCTGACTTCTCCTCTCCCCATTCCGTGTTGATCTAATGGGCTAAGTGTGTTACGGTCACACATCAACACATCCTGAGTGTACAGAGTTAACACACAGTCTCAGGCAGTCAGCTAAGGTGGTTAGTGGCTGTTTGCAACCTTAATATTCCCTCCCCTTCTTTAGAGGCACTGGGCTTCACACTGCCGGCTCCTTCAGAGGAAAATATCGGTGTTTCCAGGCGATTGTTTTCCAGTGTTAGGAGCGATTTGGTGAATAGTGAATGGAGCCTCAGTGAGGGTGATGGTGTGCTGGGGTGGTGTGACTGGCCTGGGAAAGAAGCGCAACACATTGATGCCATGGAGCATGCAGTCAGAGGCAGGTTGGAAAGTAAAGAGGGCTCGGCTCAACTACACTCCCAGCTCCACATCCAGAAATGTGTTGGGATGAACACGAGAAGAAGAAGACTGTAGAGCCAGCATATTTTACCAACCAGTAAACCGCTCTCCCTCTTTGATTTGTTTGTCTCTCTCCCTCAGACCTCAGACCTATTTGCAATGATCGAGAGAATGCAGGTACAGTAAGTTGTCTGAGATCTCTGCTGTATACTATACTCACTACTTTGTCTTCTTTGTAGTTTCAGTTTACTATTCTTGTGGGGACTTCTGGTCCCCACAAGTATAGTTAAACATGTCCACACACCCACACATACACACACACACACACACACACACACACAGTCTTGTATAACTAACCATGTGGGGACACACAATTCAGTCCCATTCAAAATCCTATTTTCCCTAACCCCTAATCCTAAACCTAACCCTAATCCATACCCTAACCTTAACCTTAACCTTAACCCAAAAACCTAACCTTAACCCTAAACCTAACCCTAGCTCCTAATCCTAAAACTAACCCTATCTCCTAACCCTAAACCTAATTCTAACCCTAACAGTAATTCTAACCCTAAACCCCCTAGAAATAGCATTTGACCTTGTGGGGACTAACAAAATGTCCCCCAGTTGGTCAAAATTTGTGTTTGTTGACTTCTGGTCCCCACAATTTTAGTTACGCACACAAACACACACACACACACACACACACACACACACACACACACACACACACACACACACACACACACACACACACACACACACACACACACACACACACACACACACACACACACACACACACACACACACACACACACACACTGTGCAGTAATTAGAATCCATAGAGCAGCTTTAAGTGATACAGTCTACTGTTTGCTCACCCCTCCGCTGCCTATCTCCATCGCTTTCCCTGTGTCTTCTGTTGCTGTCTCTCTTGTTGCCCTCTTCTGTTGCTTTCTCTTGTCTACCTTCCTCTCTCGTCCTGTCCTGGTTGTAAAAAGGGTAAAAGTAAATCATTGTTTTAATAGTAATTTCACAGGCTTTTTCACCTCACCTGCAAATTCTTTGTAAACCATGTTTTACTTTTTCACTGTCTGTATTACACCTGTTATAATTTGTATAAATAAATCAAACTAATTAGAATCTATAGAGCAGCTTGAAGTGATACATTCTAATGTGTGCTCAACCCACCTCTGTTCTCTCTCCATCTGCCCTCTTCTGTCACCTTCTCTGCTTCTTGTTGTTGGTGTCTCCTTTGTCTATCCTCTTCTGTTATGGTCCGTTCTGTTCTTCCGGTGTCTCTCTCCATCATAGCCTATTCTTCTGTTGCTGTCTCTGTGTCTTGTCTGATGTGTCTTTCTCCATCATATCCTACACTTATGTTGCTGTCTCTGTATCTTGTCTGGTGTGTCTCTTTAGTTTTGCAATCCAAAACGGTCAAGGGGATACTCGGGTAGCTTAACTTGTTTTGGGCCTGTGTCTAGGTCACTTAAATCATCCTCTTTCCTACCATTTGCCCTTGGCTGCTACTGTTCTAAGTGCTCCACTGGCCTGCGGTTCTCATCTGTCCTCCTCCTTGGCTCATCTGAAAGGTAGCAAGGTAGAGGTGCAACATGTCATTAGTTAGTTTTAAAGGGCGACTACACTTCCTGATTTGGCCTAGTTTTAGATTTGGTTCATTAAGAAATGCTAGCGGCCATGACTGAATTCAAATGTGAGTTGGTTTCATGGTGTGGTTTGATGTGGGTGTCTCGTGTGTGTTCGCAGGTGGGAAGAGTTAGCCAAATTATTTTGTCAATTAGCTTGAGCCAGCTGATGTGCAACCTGACTGACTCAGCCTTAGGATAACCTATCTCCGGGACTAGTTAGGCACCGTCAATAAATTACACAATGTAAATTAGACCATTTTCATGTTGCACACCTTTTAGCTTTCAATATTTGTACATACATGTCTACAATTTATAGTTGGTTTGAGGGTTTAAGTCATTCAAATGTGGAGCTATTGGAATTGTAACATAATGTGCCATATACATTTAATAAATTACCAATGGTCCCTAACTAGCCCCCATAGGGATATCCGAAGTCAACCCAAATTTACCACAGGCATTACGATTGGGTCGCGTGCAGCTGCACTCCAAATGTATGATTACTTGTGTGCTGCCAGCTGTGGGCATGTGGGCAGGATTGAAACAACCCCAACCTTTATTTATGTTGTGATGCAGTCACGACCACAAGTCTCACAAATCTCCGTTTTGGATGAGACTGACTTTATGACCAGAATTATCCTATTTACACTTTATAGTCAATTTTGACAGTAGAATAAATGTTTCTGACTCATATCGGTGCCACATAGGCTATTTTCTAAATGAGAAGTTGGTTTTTAGGGGCAGTTGCTCTTTTAAAGTGACTGTATACTGACATGACCAGGGCAACTAAACTGAAAAGAAAAATGTGTCCACATAACAGTGCAACACAACTCCAAACATGACATATAAGAAGCTACATAGCCCCTAGGCTATATTAATATTAAGAGATGTGAGCCCCAAAAATTGTCCTGTAGAATGGAATGAGTTATAAGACCTTTGTCAGTTCTACCAGCTAATGTGAGATATTTAGATTACATAACATTTGTGGACACATAACTTAAGGGCCTATGTAGTTTCAATGTTTTGTTCACCTACAATCACAAATAACCACAAAGCTGGCCATCTTTTCCCTCTCTTTCTGGCTGCCCTCCCCCTTCCCTTCTAAGCTCAAGTTCAAGTTTGTTTATTTGTCATATACACATGATATACATGGAGTACACAGTGCAATGAAATGCTTACTTGCAAGTTAACCTCTCAACAATGCAACAACATTAGAAAAAGTAAGTAGCTAAGTGAATAAAAATAGTAATACAAATAAAAGCTCAATGAAATAATTTCACCAATTTAATAATGGGCAGTTTTTTTTTAGTTTTTTTGTTTTTACAAATAGTTACATAACATACAGTATATGGAAATAACAGACATGAGCCAAGCATGTTTACCTGTAGAATGGAATAGGTCATTAGACCTGTAGAATGGAATAGGTCATTTTGTCAATTCTACCACCTCAACATTGCTAACTTTAAACAGGGTTAAATATAATGTAAAGTTGTGAAATCTCTACCAATCACAGCAGTCACCGCGTCACTCCAGGGGCTTCATGCAGAGCCTGCTACTGCCTAGAGCAATATATTGTATTGTTGATTTTTGTCATAAAAATGTGAGTAGATTTTTTTTTTGTTAATACTGCGTGGTGCAGGTTATGGAAACTCACATCAGACTGAAATTTAAAATAAAGGTTTCAGGCTGGACCAAAAACATCCAGGGCTGAAGCCCTGGAAGCCCATGCCTAATGACGATGCTGTTAACTGCTTCTGTTTCAGTAGGTTTACTCCCTGTGATTGACTCATTGATGTGTGTGGTCTGGGCCTGGCTGTTGGTGACGCTTTCTCTGTTGTCCTCGGTCTCTCACACACTCACTCCTCAGCTTCAGTTACTACCCTATCTTTTTTCTTCCAGTGACATTTTAATTCTCTCCGCTTTTGCTTTATCTTCATGCTATGTTATGGTGAAGCAATGTATTGTCCTTAATCAGAAATCTTCCCATGTCTCTCTTTTCCTATGTACCTGTAATGCCAAGATTGGTTATAGAGGAACATTTAAAACATATTACTATTGTTTTGAAGTTAACTTGAAGTGAGAAGTATATGTTGGTTATTTCTGTGCAGCTGTGTGAGTGTGTGTGCTGTGTATATCACCTGGCCCCTGGCATGCCTCTATCTCCCTCCACAGGGTAGCAGAATGGACGAGCAGAGATGCACCTTCCCTCCACCCCTCAAAGTGAGTCTAGTCCATCCTCACATTTCCCCACAGACTCCCTGTGGACAAAGGCTCCATTATGGCAGAGCCTTGAACCTCTCCTTATCTCCCGTCAGACAGGCTTTCAGACACACACCGCTCAAATTAGAACCCCAGCGTTACAAACCTCAGCAATCTTATCACACAGCTAGACTACTTGCAGTGTTGGAAAGCTGGATTGTGTAACATATCCTCGGCGGGTCGGCAGTCTGTGTCCGATTAAAGGGATGCTCGCCAAGGCTCTGAGTGTCACAATAGTGGACAATATGGATGTGAATACATTGTTGCGTTTATTGTGGTGGACACTCAAAAAATTGGGTCGAATTAGTTGGGTTAGCCCACCCAATATCGGTATGAGTCAATGTGGTTTCAATCTATGATTTCATGTGGGTTCCTTTCATTCTAGTTATGTGCTTTGATCATTTGCATATTGGTTGATTGTGCTATCAACATAAAAGTCACATGCTGCATTTATGAGGGGACTATGATGGTAAATGGAAATGTTTTGTTTATTATCATATGTGGTTTTCTTGCAGACAGAGGAGGACTATATCCCTTACCCCAGCGTTCACGAGGTACAAACAATCTAAAACTGACTCACATATGGAGCTGTGCATGATACAAACCATCGGAAACTGAAATCTGTATCACATATAGAGCTCTTTGATACAGCATAAATGGTCTGAATGAACCCACAGTGTGGTTGCCCTTTATCTGCTATTGAATTTAATCCCATGAATTGTATTTATTTTCATTTAACTTTATTAACTTCATCATCCTGGTTGGTATCAGGTCCTGGGTCGTACGAGCCCCTTCCCCCTCATCCTGCTGCCTCAGTTCGGAGGCTACTGGATCGAGGGGACCAATCACAAACCCAGTGCCACACCTGAGCCTGAGCAGAAGCCATGTGCTGCCTCCCACATCAAGCTGGAGACCAACAGCACAGCCAAGATCTACAGGAAACAGTTCATGGGCAAGGTGAGCATCATCTGATAAGCACCATTCTGCTCCCCACTTTTTTTTATGGAGTTTTCATTCCATCTGAAAGATTGAAATAGAAATAGAACACAAGGAAGTAGCATATTTCTTTGCTAGCTGAGAGTCCCTCAAAATGATTACATCACAGGCTGAGGCTAAGTCCATTCATTCTCCTGGCAGGGGACTGTGTTTCTAACAAATTAAAGTATTTTCTGTATGTACCACTGTTGAGTTAGCTGGAGGAGCTTCTGTCTGTTTGAGCAGTGGAGCTGAGGGGGACTAGGCCAGTCAGAGGAATAATGAACATTACCTGAGGTGTGGATTATTTGTTATCTGAGTGTACTGCCTGGTGATGTCTCTATAGGAACACTTTAATTACTACTCCATGGACATCGCCCTGGGCCACCTGGTCTTCTCCATGAAGTATGATGTCATCGGGGACCAGGAGCACCTCTGCTTGCTGCTAAGGTACCAATTCCTATTATCTTTATTTCTCCCCTGCCTCCTCTTTCTCTCTACAAACCACAGGCGGCTGGTGGCACCTTAATTGGGGAGGACGGGCTCATAGTAATGGCTGGAACAGAATAAATGGAATGGTTTTAAAAAAAAAACATCACACATGTTTGATACCATTCCATGCACACTCTATTCCAGCCATTATTATGAGCAGTCCTCCCATCACCAGCCTCCTGTGCTACACACTATTTGTCTCTTCTCCTGTCTCATTTCTCTATTGCCCACTGCCCTTCTCCCCATTCTCTTCTGTTTTCACCACTCTCTCTATCTCTCTCCCCATGTCCCGCTTTCTTTCTCCCTCTCTCTCTATCTCTCTCTCTCTCTCTCTCTCTACCTCTCTCCCCATGACCCGCTCTCTTCCTCCCTCTCTCTCTCTTTCTCTCTCCTCTCTCTCTCTCTCTCTCTCTCTCTCTCCTCTCTCTCTCTCTCTCTCTCTCTCTCTCTCTCTCTCTCTCTCTCTCTCTCTCTCTCTCTCTCATTATACTCCCTCTCTCTCTTATCTCTCTAATCTCTCTTAAATCTCTCTCAATTTCAATTTAATTTCAATTTAAGGGCTTTATTGGCATGGGAAACGTATGTTAACATTGCCAAAGCAAGTGAAGTAGATAGTAAACAAAAGTGAAATAAACAATACATATTAACAGTAAACATTACACTCAGATGTTCCAAAAGAATTAAGACATTTCAAATGTCATATTATGTCTATATACAGTGTTGTAACAATGTGCAAATAGTTAAAGTACAAATGGGAAAATAAATAAACATAAATATGGGTTGTATTTACAATGGTGTTTGTTCTTCACTGGTTGCCCTTTTCTTGTGGCAACAGGTCACAAATATTGCTGCTGTGATGGCACACTGTGGTTTTTCACCCAGTAGATAAGGGAGTGTAGTATCGAGTAATGCTGGCAATTATTGCTGATAAACAAAGGAGTCCGCTCATACTGAACCTTGATCATAAGTTTATTCATATCACAAGCTTTCAGCATGAGTTACAGGTGTCAAGATCACCCGGAGAACGGCATCCCCCGAATTGCAATGGCCGCTCTAACCTCTTCGTCGTTTTTACCCAGTATTAATAATCTTCCCAAGATAGGGGTGGCTCCCTCTACTGTCCAATCCCCTGTCTACAACACACAGACTTCTCTGTCCTATCCGGGGTGTCACATTAAAACCGGCTCTCTTTCTGCTAAATAAACATCCTTTCAGGTTCCACTTAAAAACATTAACAAAGACATAATCCTAATACACTACAGGAGTTTATCAGAATTGGGTTTGTTTTCGAATTCTTTGTGGATCTCTGTAATCTGAGGGAAATATGTGTCTCTAATATGGCAGGAGGTTAGGAAGTGCAGCTCAGTTTCCACCTCATTTTGTGGGCAGTGTGCACATAGCCTGTCTTCTCTTGAGAGCCAGGTCTGCCTACCACGGCCTTTCACAATAGCAAGGCTATGCTCACTGAGTCTGTACATAGTCAAAGCTTTCCTTAAGTTTTGGTCAGTCACAGTGGTCAGATATTCTGCCAATGTGTACTCTCTGTTTAGGGCCAAATAGCATTCTAGTTTCCAATGTGTCAAGTAATTCTCTTTTTGTTTTCTCATGATTTGGTTGGGTCTAATTGTGTTGTTGTTGTTGTCCTGGGGCTCTGTGGGGTCTGTTTGTGTTTTTGAACAGAGCCCCAGGACCAGCTTACTTAGGGGACTCTTCTCCAAGTTAATCTCTCTGTAGGTGATGGCTTTGTTATGTAAGGTTTGGGAATCGCTTCCTTTTAAGTGGTTATAGAATTTAACGGCTCTTTTCTGAATTTTGATAATTAGCGGGTATCGGCCTAATTCTGCTCTGCATACATTATTTGGTGTTTTTCGTTGTACACAGAGGATATTTTTGCAGAATTCTGCATGCAGTCTCAATTTGGTGTTTGTCCCAGAAGGCCCTTCTTGCCTTGTCTCTCAGATTGTTCACAGCTTTGTGGAAGTTACCTGTGGCGCTGACTCTTTTTGTGGCCTCCTCTCAGGCTCTCTTCAGCCATTAAAGGACTGCAGGTGCTTTTCAATAACACCTAACCCAGAGCAGAGGACATCTGTCTGCTTCAGCCTCTAATAGTGTTTGTTAAGCAGTCCTGTCCACATTTCCATCCCTATCCAGTTCTACTATGTGGTCAGGGAGAGGTTCATTTAGCTTAGCATGGCAGCACTCTAGCCTTAAATACTGGCCAGGCCAGCCTGTACACTGCGCTAGCACAAACACACCCATCTCTCCCCAACATGTTCACTCACTGTGAAATTATCAATTCGACCACGTTATAACACTAATGATAGAGTAGGAAGGAGGGAGGCAGCACTGAACGCTCCATAAAAGCTGTGAATGAATTTTACAACCCTAGAGAGAGCACTCCAGCTGTAATGGCTGTTGTGTTAGTTAGTGTGCTCAGTTTGCAGGTGGTGTATGCCTGAGAATTATGGCTGGCTGAGAGTACGTAGGTATGTCGGTTCATGTGCCTGCTGTGCTGTCACTGAAAAGACAGTAGGTGTGAACAGGTTATGTTGCTCATAGTTGACTGTGGCAAGGCGGGCTATGCAAATCGCCATTGTATATCCACGGCATCCAAGGAAAGATGATCCACATTGGTTTTGCATCACATTTGCATCAGCAGGGATGTCAACAAAATGAGAAGGATTTCTTTTTTTAAATGGGACCAAAGTGTTGAAGAAAAAATAGAGAATCCCCTTTCTAAAGACAGAATGCTGAATATCTATGAAACTATTCCATCAATTTGTCTTTTAGGACCAAATTAAAAACCCACCATGATGTGATTCCTATCTCCTGCCTGACTGAGTTCCCCAACGTGGTCCAGATGGCCAAGGTAGGATGACAGACATCCCAGAAGGAGATATTAATGCTCCGAGCCGGTTGAGAACGGTTGGAAAGGGATTTACTGGATGTGAAGTTGAAACAAAAGTTATTGTATAAAGTTGCAATGGCAGGAGGAAAAGTTTAGTTTTTATTTTGCAGCTGGTGTTTGAAGAGGTAAACGTGGACAGATTTTACCCGGTCATCTACCCGAAGGTAGGCTCTGTTTTCATCTTGAAATTATTCAGTTACATGGTCAGCACTGTACATTTACAATGGAGTAGCTAACTATAACTATTTTATTATACAATAATAGTATGGTCCAGCAAGGAGCATTTATTGCTGTATTAATATTTATTTCTCAACTACAGTGTATTTATGTTCCCCCCTCATTGCTTTACATTGATGCAAGTCACATTCACCTTGACTCTGCTGAATGCACTACTCTAATTTTTCCAGGCCTCAAGGCTCATTGTCACCTTTGATGAGCATGTCATCAGCAACAACTTCAAGTTTGGAGTCATTTATCAGAAGTTTGGCCAGGTGAGTGGTATATAGCCTGTGGTAGTAAAATCATTTAAAGTCATATACATTTAAACAGTTGGTTGCTTCCCGTATTTGGAGGATTATTATGACTGTGCTACTTCCTGTTCATCATAGCACTCCAGCTTAGCCATTCTCAGGAGAGTTTAGGTGTATGAACTTCTCCCTCCTTCCCAAACTAAGAGGATTTGCTGTGCCACCTCCAGAGGAGGCCTGATTGATTTCCTGTTGAGCTCAGATGTAATATTTCCTCTCCACGGCCTTTTATTTCTCCCTGCAGACCACCGAGGAGGAGCTATTTGGGAACAGTGACGAGAGTCCTGCTTTTGTAGAGTTCTTGGAGTTTCTGGGGGACAAGATTGAGCTCCATGACTTTAAAGGGTAAGCGTGGCCTTAGAATGGTATTGACATGGCAGATGAAAGACTGGTCATGTCTCTATCGATTACAATTGACTTTGACATGACTCCCTGAATGATGACACTGCAGTCGTTCAGACGTCTAGAACCTCGTTTATTATAGTAGATCTGCTCTGATTCTCTCGATTTAGAGCAATATAATATTCTGAGTGATACTGACATTATGATTGAGTGGAAGGGGATAACTGCCCTTGGCATTCACTCCATGATGGATGAGACAGAGTGGTGTGGATGCGCTGGCTGAGACGACCTGTGCTACTGCTGTTGGTAATGTAACGGTCTGGTTCACACTCTGGTTCTGCAGGTTCAGAGGAGGACTGGACGTCACCCATGGCCAGACAGGAACAGAGTCTGTCTACACTAACTTTCACAACAAGGAGATCATGTTCCACGTGTCCACCAAGCTGCCATACACAGAGGGAGACTCCCAGCAGGTAACTAGCTCAGTCAGGCCCTATCCTGTCTGTCATTATGTCTGTCAGTAGCTAGATTGGATGTATAGTATATCTACTTCATTTCTATCAAGAAACATCACTGGGTAATTGGTACAGGTTTGTCAAATCTGAGAAAAAGAAAAAGATCCCCAGGGGCTAGCCACCATGAACAGCACTGTTATTATTTTCACTGTTTTTCTTTACTCCTGTTGGTGTGCTCAGTGACCCTGTCTGTTTTGACCTGAAGGGGCTATTTCTCATGACAAGTTGTCACTTCCATGAAGATGAATATGGAGTAGCTAGGCATGGGCAACATGTAGTTTCTCATTTGAGGACACAGTTTGGTGGCTTGATGCTTTCTCCTGCTGCTTTGAGTGACCTTAGCTACCTCACCTGCCCCACTGGGAGAACCATCCCAAGGAGAGTCCTTATTCTCAACAGATGAATGAGCAGCAGAGCTGAGCCATGTGGACAGACAGACACACATAAAGACGCAGGGGATACCCATGTAGGCTAAGACGAGCAGAGATTCACTGTGACACCAACGAGATAAAGGCAAAGATGAACAGACACAATGTGTTGAGAGGAAGAGGAAGGAAAACAACTAGCAGTCTAAAGCTGAGGCTGACCTGGCGTTGAGCCTGTGTTGAGTTCATTATTGAAAGTCTGTGTTTCACCATGGTTATACATGACAGCTCTCACTCCCTCGCTGTCCATCTGCTCTCATGCATAGTGGATGTTCTGGTACCATCTGGCCCCTACTGGCGTGTGTGTGTGTGTGTGTGTGTGTGTGTGTGTGTGTGTGTGTGTGTGTGTGTGTGTGTGCAAACATCAACAACAGGCCTCAAAGAGTTCCCACTGCCCAAGAGCCAGACCAACCATGCAACACAAGAACCCTGCTCAACATAATGCTACTACTGTATAAAATGGCCTTTGAACTGCCTTTGAACTTGTCAGGTGATCAGTCCTGAGTCTCTCACTTACTTTTTTTTATGAGATTATTAAATAGATAAAGCCTCTATGACAATAACAACTCTTCCTTATTTCTCCAGAGCTTGAAACAAATGGTTTATTGTTTTCATGTGTAAGACACAGTGCCAAAATACACAACTATAAAGCAATTCAGCAGCCAACAAGAGAGGAAATATCCATAAAGCCCTGAAAATAAATATTTGCCTTAATGTTTTATTCAGACAATCAATATGCTCTGTGTTATTTTATGACAGTACTTTGCCCTGCAGTAAATGTCATTCATCAACAGGTGTCATGTGGCCCTGCTGTGTAGAATAATTCCCCTATGTTCACAATGGTGTGCAGAATAACAGGGAAACTGGTGACTGATCAGTGAGTCAACACATGTTAGAGAGCAGGTGCTAAGCTGCAGAGGCCTATAATCACAGTGCAGGGAAATAGGTTCTGTCCTTTTCAGTCTCCAATCACTGAATGGGCTATAGGCCGCCCTATGCCTTTCAATATGCATCACATGACCGCCACTGTTTGATGAAAACTAATTGTAGAGAGATGTTTCATACCTACAATTAGTAAGCACAAATTGTTTCTGTAGTAGACTATGCATTTAGTGGATTATTTGCCTATTTAATTAATCTATATAGGTGTTCTTGGCTGACCTAAATGTAGTGGTAAAGTGTATGACCGTAATGGTGACACTGTTGTTTGTGCTGTTGTGTTTGCAGCTGCAGAGGAAGAGGCACGTAGGCAACGACATCGTGGCCATCTTGTTTCAGGAGGAAAACACACCCTTTGTGCCAGACATGATAGCCTCCAACTTCCTGCATGCCTACGTGGTGGTGCAGGTGGAGAATGCCTGCTCAGACAACGTCACATACAAGGTACTGTTAGCCCAGGGATAGTCAGACTCCTCACAGTCTATAAACCTGTTCAAGCCTCCTATTTCAATACATAGAGACTCGGCCCAAGGCAACCTGCATATTCCTTATTAGAAATCAATCAGTAACTGACTGGCGACTAACTGTCCTGCTTGTTCCTGCCTATTACCTGCCTCATAAATGTTTATAGAGCCTAGTCAGTGTTATGTGATTTAGTGGTGGCATATGGGCTGTTGTCATTTGGATACATTCTACCTCTCTTCTACCCCTCCAGGTGTCTGTGACAGCGAGAGATGATGTGCCTTTCTTTGGACCCGCTCTACCGGACCCAGCCATCTTTAAAAAGGTGAGAAGTCATGAATCTAAATAATGCATAAACTAGGTGAGCCCATGAGAGGGACAACATATTAATTTAGACTTTCCTCCTCCCTCCTTTTCTTCTCTAGGGACATGAGTTCCATGAGTTCCTGTTCACCAAGCTGATCAATGCGGAGTACGCCTGTTACAAGGCTGAGAAGTTTGCCAAACTGGAGGTGAGAGCAGGAGCATGCCACGGCATGCTGTGCAGTGTGGGGGCAGAGTCACGCTGCTCTCGCTGCACCACTTACCGTACTGTCTGTCTGTGTGTTTGTGTGGATGCTGTATGTGAGGGTGAATGACTGGATCATGGCAGTTTGCAGCTCATGTTCCTTTGTTTGTATCTCTGTAAAGGCACGTTTGTGTCTCTGTGTGTGCGTTCGTGTGTTGAACTGTATTGTACACTGAATGCCTGCAGAAATGTCTGCACAAGTGTTTACATGTCATTGATTTCTATTGAGGACACTATCCTCTGACTGATGAGTGTGTGTTGTTGTCAGGAGCGCACGCGGTCGGCCCTGTTGGAGACCCTGTATGAGGAGCTACACATCAACAGCCAGTCCATGATGGGCCTGGGAGGGGACGAGGACAAACTGGAGAATGGGGCTGGGGGGGGGGGGGGGCTTCTTTGAGTCCTTTAAGGTAACCCCCTACTATGTAAGGTGCAAGCTTAATCGGGCACTTGACCTGCATGAGAGAGGTTGAATATTGAAAAATAAATGCTTTCTTTATTTCCTGGAAGGGATTCTGGGTATTCATACATTCAAAATAAGGCACAGAAAAGGAAGTGCCAGTATAAGTGCTCTCTGGAAGTGCCCTGATGCTGTTGAAGATTGGCTGTTGCCATATCATATCTCATTGTGTCACGTGACCAGAGGAGGATCAGGGAGTTGGGAGCATCCCTGTCGATGTGCATCCAGCACTCTGACTCTAAATCCTCTATCAATGACCATTAGGGTGGTGGAGCGTGGGCAAGGCAGTGAGCCATGGCAGTGGAGGAGCTGTGATTGTGTGTCTCTGACGAACACTGTAATGGCCTCATTAGGGAGCGGATGAGCCTGTCCGCATGGCTCCCCATCTGCCACTCTGCTCTCTTCCTCTCTGGCTCTGTCTCTGGCTTGTCTATCTCTCGCTCTCTCCTTTCTTGTCTCTCTCTGTCCCTCCCACTTTCTTTCTGTCTGTGCCACTCTCGCAGGTAGCTTAGTGGTTAAGAGCGTTGTGCCAGTAACCGAAAGGTCGCTGGTTCTAATCCCCGAGCCGACTAGGTGAAAAATCTGTCGATGTGCCCTTGAGCAAGGCACTTAACCCTAATTGGTCCTGTAAGTCGCTCTGGATAAGAGCGTCTGCTAAATGACAAAAAAATGAATAATCAAATACGGTCCTGCACAATCTCCATCACAGGTTATCATTAGAATTCAGGGTTAGTGTGGTTAAGGCGATGTTTAGGATCCATACACACTCACCGACCGTGTCTCTCTCTGTACTCTGTAGCGGGTGATCCGCAGCAGAAGCCAGTCTATGGATGCCATGGGCCTCAGTAACAAGAAGCCACACACTGTCTCCACTAGTCTCAGTAGCAGCTTTACTGAGACCCCCAAAACCCCAGGGATAGTAAGTAACCCTTTTGGTTTTACCAGAGGCCCACGTGGGCCTGTCTACTGACTCCCCTGTAGTAGACACTTACCCTCCCCTAACAACACCCAATACCAACTACTGCATACCCTATCGTCTCTCCCATGTGGGATAGTCATATACCGTCTGTACCTACCTGTGCTCAAATCCCTTGATTTAACACAATGTTTCATATATGGTATGAGCAAGAGTTTTAAATACTACCCCCCCCCCCCCCCTTACCTTTACCCTCATATCTGTCACCTCCATAGTTTGCCATTTTCCATGACTTTTTCCATGGCATTTTCAAATGAACCACTGTTCATTTTAAAGTAATGTTTATTTTCATGTCGTGAGAATGGGAAAGGGAAAGGGGGATACCTAGTCAGTTGTACAACTGAAATGTGTCTTCCATGTCATACAAAGTCATGCTCAACCCTAAATCATATTCATTTCATATAGTTCAATCTAGTTATCAGGGATGTTAGATGTAACTGGACTTGGTATAATGGTATAATCTGCTCACAGACCTGTTGAGGCTATAAGTAGGTGCTGGTGTGCTTTTTGGAAAGTTTATTTTATGTGAATGATCTCAAAGAACCTTTAACCCTTTCTGCCACTTCATAGACTTTGTGGGCTTTTGAGTCTCATAAGATTGTGAAGCTTGATTTGCTTTCTCTGGCAACCTGAGAGCCATTTGAAAAGAGATAAGTTTAGCTGTCAGACTACCCAGAGTCCCTCCCTTGTTACCTTGCTGTCATGAGTGTTTCATGGGCGCTGCATGAAGCCAGTCTGGCATGGAGCTGTGCATGGCAGGCAGTTGCGGAGATAAGAAGTGTATGCATGCATCTTTTTCCACTTTGTGTCACTGTACAGGTTGCAAGTACTCTGGTAGGCAATTCAAAGAAACAGCTGCTAGTTAACTATTAGTTTACTAATGACATTTTTACTACATTCAAGAAGTAAATCTGCCCTCTCACATGCTAACTCTTTGGATTGTGCCAGTCCCTCCTCTTCATCTCTCTATCTCTCATCTGCCTATTTAAACAGGTCCACTCTGTTGTTTGACAAACTCCTCCTTGTTTTTGTTCATTCTCATGATAAGGAAAGAAGAGTGAGACCAAGCTACATGGGCTATTATTCAATTTCCTTCCGCACTCTGTGGTCTCTAACTCTAGTCCAGCTTTCAATGTGAATGGCCTTTCAATGTGTGCTCAATATGTCTCCTGTCTTCTGTGTCTTATGGTGTACTGTGAGCTCACATTCTAATTTGTACCTTGCTGTTCAAATGGTTCCTGCTGCATGAAATGTTGTGGTGTATTATTGTATCTTCTCCTCTCATTCTCTTTCTCTTTCTCTGCTTCCTCCTCCCCTGTGTGATTCAGTCATTACTTGTCCCAGGGAAAAGTCCCAGTAGGTATCATGGACGTCGCGGCAGTGCCATAGGGATAGGAACAATAGAAGAGGTTCATGTATAAATCTCCCTTCTAATGTGCTATTTCTCTGCTCTTTTCTTCGCTTACTTGTGTGGTTCTATGTCTCTTTGCATGACTCAATTACTGTTGCTTTCTGCTGAAACCAATATTTCTATAGCCATCTATAAAGCAATCATTTTCTACATCTCAAGTGTGGGGGGGAAAACCACTGGGATGTAAGAAAAATATAATTTAGGTATTAAAGATTTTATGAAGAGTATCCATCACAAAAATGGAAAGGTCTGTGAGAATAATGACTGGTTTATTACCTTCCTTTGTGGATCAATTCCTATCTTTCACTCGTACAACATGATGGAGTAGCTAAAATAGTATTTCACCAACAAGCCACTGTCACTTCATTTTAGTCCCCCCATAACGTTTCTCATGTGATGTAGATAGCAAGTATCAAATACTGAAGGCATTTGAGTCATTGTGCTGCAGAATCTCAATGACATTCAACAAATGCCATTCAACAAATGCCTTTTTGAATGGAGTTCACGTTTTCACTGACTGTAAAACAGACCAAGTCGTATATTATAGCCGTACAGTAGCCTCTGTCTTTTACTATATAAGTCATGCTAGAGGAATATAGTATTGAGGCTGACTAACCTAGCCACTCCTCCCCAGTCTCTGATAATTCCTGGGAAGAGCCCCACCAGGAAGAAGTCTGGGCCCTTCAGCGCCAGACGGAGCAGTGCCATTGGGATCGAGAACATCCAGGAGGTGCAGGAGAGGAGGTGAGAGGAGGGCTTCTTGGGCTATCTGGAGAAGAAAGAGGAAAATGGGGAGTGTCAGAGAGAAAGGATAGAAAGAGATGGAGAAAATAAACATACCAGAAGTACGTTCCAATACCACAAGTCACTCTGAATGGCGGTCAGCTGTCACGTGGTTGCATTTTACAGAAGTGTCGCCGTTGCATTAGCATTAGTGGCTAACGTTAGCTAGCAGGTTAAGGTTAGTGTTAGGTTAAGGTTAGTGATAGGTTAAGTTAAGGGTTAGGGATATGTTAAGGATAGGGTTAGAGTATGGCTAGCTAACATGCTAAAGTACTTGCAAAACGCTATTGTTGTGTTTAGCTAAAGTTGGTTATTAGCTAAGACGCTCAAGTTGACACCGACGCAATTCGAACACACAACCTTTGGGGTAAAGAGAGCGATGAGGATTTCAAATATATGTCAGGTCACTGGAGAGACGTGTTGGTGTTTGACTCTTGGAATGATATGCATTTTATGCACTGCAGAGCTAGCTAGCTGTAGCTTATGCTTTCAGTACTAGATTCATTCTCTGATCCTTTGAGTGGACAACGTCAGTTCATGCAGCAAGAGCTCTGATAGGTTTGAGGACGTCCTCCGGAAGTTATCATAATTACTGTGTAAGTCTATGGAAGGGGGTGAGAACCAACAGCCTTCTAGGTTTTGAATTGAAGTCAATGTACCAAGAGGAGGACGAAAGCTAGCTGTCCTCCGGCTACACCATGGTGCTACCCTACAGAGTGCTGTTGAGGCTACTGTAGACCTTCATTGCAAAACAGTATGTTTTAATCAATTATTTGGTGACGTGAATATATTTAGTATAGTTTTATTTAAAAAGGATAACTTTTTCAATTTCTTTTAATAAAAAAATAAATGAAATTCACTGAGGAGGATGGTCCTCCCCTTCCTCCTCTGAGGAGCCTCCACTGATTAGCGGTAATGTCTAAGAGCCCATCCTGATACCTCTCTATCACCTCCTACCTCAGTCGGGAAGTGTCTCCCAGCACACAGAGGACTCCAGACAGTGGACACATCTCCCAGGAACCCAAATCAGAGAACTCATCCAATCAGAGCTCACCAGAGATGCCCACCACAAAGAACAGGTGAATAGACAGCACTTAATAGTGCTGTCAAGCTCATGCTGAAGAACATGTGTATAGTGTGTGTGTGTGTGTAGTGTGTGTGTGTGTGTGTGTGTGTGTGTGTGTGTGTGTGTGTGTGTGTGTGTGTGTGTGTGTGTGTGTGTGTGTGTGTGTGTGTGTGTGTGTGTGTGCGTGTGCGTGTGCGTGCGTGCATATTAGAGTGGTCAGATTGACCCAGGTGTGTAGTTTGGCCATGTGTTGCAGGGCCCCTTCTATCCCTGAGGCCCAGGACCTTTCCCGCTCCTCGTCCAATGCCAGCAGCTTCGCCAGCGTGGTGGAGGAACACGATAACGAGGGCATCGAGGAGTACGACACAGGACTGGTAGGAGCCCCTCTTTTCCGACCCTCAATCACTAACATACATCACATAGAGGTCATGTCAATATAATAGTGACACACTCAAAATTAATAAAAAGCTAAAGATCCTGACAATTGCGCTTGTGTTTTTGTTTGTTGCAGGAGAGTCTGTCCTTTTCTGGAACACCACACAAGAGGGACTCATTTGCGTACGTCTCCTGGGTAGAGGATAGTGTGAGCAGTACTAGTGCCACCAGCCAGGGCAGCTCTCCAGGTGAGTTGTTTCAATAGTGTTTTCAATACTGCCATAAGGTACCAAAAGTTGAGTTTGTTTGTCATGATGGCCCATTGTCTGCCCCTCCCTGACAGCACCTGCATGGCCCCAGCAGCCTGAGGGGGGCAAAGGGGTAGAGCTCAAAAAGGCGGAGAGCCGAGACAAGACAGAGCGTTCACAGGATAAGTCATCATCGGTGAGATCGGTTTTACTCATTTAACAATCAGATCCTCTGTAACATATCCGCTCGTTCACTGTACTAGCGGTGTACATTGGAAGACAAATTTCATTCCGCTTACATACAGGTATATATAACCATTTATAAATCTGCTTATAAATGTATAAATGCCCTAAACTTACCCTCTTCATTGTTGTTCAGTCATTGTGGTCTTTGTTAACCTTGTCATTCTCTTTCTCTTTCTGTGTCTGTGTCCAGAACTGTTAGCCTCTCCCCATTGATCACTACATGGATGTCCATTAGCAGGTACCTGGAGTTGTTCAACTCAGTAGATGTAGCTTACTGACCATGTGTTACCCATGTCTGTATTTGGGTGTTTGTGTGTGATGACTTGTAGTAAAAATAGTGTCTGACCCCAGTCCCCCTATCCTCCCACAGCATTCCCATAAGAGGCACCCCCTGCAGGAGATGAAGCAAGCGCACGTGTTTTCCACCACTGACGCAGAGGAGGAGCAGAGCTAGTCGCTGGGACAGAGACAGACCTGGTGTAGGCTAGTCCAGTCTGAACAGCCAGGTCCATGGACATGCACTTACTGCCCTCCCTCATCCCAACTCTATGTGGCTGACTCCCAGCATGCCTAGAGGGGTGAAGGAGAGGAGCGGCCCGCACCCATTCCCAAAAGGAGTGCCACTCACACAGCATCACTTCTGGCTGTTGTCTGTTGGCTCGCTTAGCCTGCATACATTTTTGCTCCGTGAGCTCTGTGAAGCCTGAATCATAGTACACTCTCCCTTGTCCTGTCTATGGCATTGTTTATTGTTTTGTTTTGAAGGTGATGACAGGGGTGGATCTTAAGCATTAGACAGATTGGTGTTGCAGGAGATCCGTTGATCATGCATTAGGGGAAGTTTTCTGTTAGGCTAAAGAGGAATGCATGAGAAGGATAAGAGGGTGTTGTCCTGTTGTCATTGTTGGAAGAACTGACATTATTGCTCCCATCAACCTCATGTCCCACCATGATACTGTACATTTGTTACTCTTGGTGTCCCGGATCCTTTGATGTCACACCAAGCCTGTTTTATTAATGGTCAATTATGAGTGTAATGGTGGATGTTGACTAGAAACTTTTGGTAAATGTTACATGTTTTTGATAGAAGGTACTTTTATCCTCATGCTGCTGCTGGTTTTGATTCCATTATTCATTTCCCCTGACAAACTGTACAATTACAGTTTGCAGTTTATGTTGATGAATGGAAAATATTTTACTGACTCCATAACTATGGTCAACCTATTTCAGGCCATTTAAAGGGGTAATCTGCAGTTCTAAAAAGAACAAAGTGGCAAACCCGCCACTATTTCAATAACCAGCTGAGTGATGGGGCTGGAGAAAAGTAACCACTCTCAAATTCATAGACAAAGCTATGGATGCAAGGACTGACCATCTATGATAGCAAAAGTATAGTTTTAACCATGTTGAGGCTATATAGTGTCTGTTTACAGTTACCTTGTTTACAAACAAATGAGTAAAACAAACTTATGTTTTGGGTTTTGATGGGGTACGACAGTTGAACTAGGTGCATGAGGGACTTCCAAGTTATATTCTTCAAGAATCAATGGATATATTTCATTAATTTAACAGTCCAAAAATTGATGTAGCAATCACAGATTGCCCCTATAAGCTGAGGAAAAAAACATGAAGTATTGAATTACAGATAAGGTCCGGTGTCCAGACTAAATGACTCTCATCAGTCTTCATCACTGTCCCATACTGTAGATAGTACCACATAGTCAGACATTCCACCAAGGTGACCTAACCAAAGCAGACAGCCTCCAAAGCCAAGCTACTGTCCAGTGACTACTGTCTTCAGCTTCTTTTTTGAAATCACAAACCACTAGTTTGATTTAAAGTATGTGTTTGGATATGTATACATGGTGCATGGTGTAAATCTGCTTGCAAACCCATGTCAATTGGTGCCATGCTCGAAAATAGTTGTTCCTGTGATTTGTGTTACTTCAAACCAGTCAAACTTCTCAAAAAATACATATAAAGAGACATTATTTCTTTAGATTTCTTTATATCAGTTTCACATAGGTTTCGATTGAGAAAGATGGGGAAACTGGCACTACATTTTCAAATAATTGTTGATCTTTTGATAATCTGACTCGTTTTTTAAAAGATTTACACTGTGACAAGTCTTGAAGTTGCCTTTTTAATGATTGTGTTAAGTAAGCTGCTTTGTAGGAGGGTATCCCCCTTCATATATGGAATCTATGCCATGGTGGATATCGCCAACTGGAATCTATCACCAACTGGTTTGAATGTAAAACTAAACAGATATATGTATTAATTTGTAGATATCTGCTCTCAATGAATGGAACCTTGGTATCTTGTGAAACGTCTTACATTGCCTGATTAGAGCCATTTTCCCTCATCTCAGATTTATATAATGAAAATAACTGATATGAAGGCATGGTTTTCATGACTTTTTATTTCAATGAAATAAATGGCTCTCTGAGTAAGTAAGGAACACTACATCAAAATACAGTTAGTCTGACATTTATTTAATCATGTATTTATTATTAAACACCATTCTGAAGATTATGATTCAACAAAATACTATTAATTGAAATGTGATTGGAAAGTGAAGTTTCATCAGGTTAAGAGAGCCTTTGGAGTCATAGTGTGTGTATCGCAGGCACTGAAACTCAAAATATATCAAAAACTATTTTAATCTCAAAGCTTAAAATAAATGTATTAAAGCTCTCTCACTAGTCTTTGGAAATGCTTGAATAGTTGGATCATGCCCTCTGGTGGCTCCAGATTATACTTGCACATTTCTCTGTGGTCCTGTTCATCTGTACCTGTGTTTGTACATGTAAATGCAAGACACTTGGATTGAGCACCCAGTCAATCCAAACAACAGATTCAACCTGCAATGTGCTTAATTCAGATGATTGTATTTCTGTTCTCGTTGATATTACGCTTAAGCCCTTGTTCAAGTTCGAAAGTCTTGTTTGTAAATATAGCCTTTCATCCTTTTGTAAATAAAGCCAATTACATGTTTAATAAAGACAAAGGGGTAATACAGTACAAGGACTACTGTTGTTGTTTGAAGATGACTACTGCTGGCGATAGTTGCTGCTGTTTACTTCAAGCCTTATTCCCTCTTCCTTGCCCCAACTCCCTCACATCTCCAGGTTCCACCACTTGAAGGAGAAGGATTCCCTGCGGACATTGGAGCCACAGTGAACCTCTCCCAGCAGTTTGTGGTAGGAGGCAAAGTCATCAATGTATGTGCAGCTGAGTCCCAGGCCCTCCATGAGGGAGGTCATCTCTGCCTCCAGGGAACAGCGGCCGTCCACCTTGGGCCCAAACGGCTTAGGGATGCCCAGGTTCTTCCCCAACACAATCATGTTCACCTGGAGGTAGAAACATATGCCTCAATTAGGATTTGTTTCTTGCGCTACTTGGGTAGTAGATGATTTGAGCATACGTCCTAATCACATGTAGAAAATGATCACAAAATTGCTAAAATTATTTGCCAGCATTTTTGAGAGTTTTGCCATTCTGAAATGTACAATGTATAACAAATAAAATAAGAAGTACTTTTGGGTTGGAGGTCAGCATGAGGTGTTCTAGTGTAGAACTAGTGTATTCTCACCATGTCTGGGTAGTAGGCCACTGCCCTGTTTTCCTCCATCACATGGAAAAGGATGGGCAGATCAATGATATCATCGTCGTCTAAACCCAGCTCCCTCTTAAGGACATCCCTGTTCCAGTCTATACAGCTCTGTGGGACAGCAGCAGTCACAACATTTACATGGTTATTTCACCAAGCACTGCAACACTCTGCTAGCCTCTCTGAGTAACTAGTTCATCTGGCCTTTAGTTTCCCTCACCTGGACATAGTTGTTTTCTGCTCTGAGTTTCTCATCACTCAAAATCTCATCTACCGTAATCTCTTCTTCTGCTCCAAGACCTGTTAGGAAGGAAGTGGGTGTTAATTAGTAAAACATACAGTTCAGCGGTGGTCGGTGACGCTTAAGATGAGGGAGGACTATTTCTTTTTTTATGAGCATGGCCCTATTTCTATTACAGCATATTGGATGACTTATTCATATTCCATTCACTCAGCCAAATGTAACATCGATAGGTTTAGGCTACTACATGATGCTCAAATTTTCCCTATACCCATCGAGGTTGCTACAACCTAGCCTATGAATGTAGGTGCACAGGTCAAGAGAAATTTGAGTAATCAAGGTGACAGACATTGACACATTCAATACCGCCTTGCACACTCTTGCCTGTATCTAGCTGATCTAGGGTGTAATCATTAGTCTAACAGTTGCAAACAAGAGTTTCTATTAGACAAATTCAAGTATGTTTATCCCCGTTTCATTCCATTTAAGTAACGTTTTTCAACAGAATCGGCGGAATGAATACACCCCTGATCACACACAAACACAGTTCACTTTCCTAGCAGCCACATACAAACAGCATGATCACTTTGCTAGTTGTATAATTACTTCACGCATCTACGCGCTCTCCTCCTCTCACATTTTCCCTTCACTTGTGGACTTCAGTGCACAACACATCAGCCATCTGTGACCAGGGAAAAAAAACTTTCCAAGCCAAACCTTCATATCATAACCGAGTTAACTACTCACCACATGTTATGCACTGCAGTGCTAGCTAGTTATAGCTTATGCTTTCAGGACTAGATTAATTCTCTGATCCTTTGATTGGGTGGACAACATGTCAGTTCATGCTGCAAGAGCTCTGATAGGTTGGAGGAAGTTGTCAGAATTACTGTTTAAGTCTATGGAAGGGGTTGAGAACCATGAGCCTCCTAGGTTTTGTATTGAAGTCAATGTACCCAGAGGAGGACAGAAGCTAGCTGTCCTCTAGCTACACCATGGTGCTACCCTACAGAGTGCTGTTGAGGCTACTGTAGACCTTCATTGCAAAACAGTGTGTTTTAATAAATTATTTGGTGATGTGAATATATTTAGTATAGTTTTATCTAAAAAGGATAACTTTTTTAATGTTTCACTATTTTTATTTTTTATTAAATTCACTGAGGATGGTCCACCCCTTCCTCCTCTGAGGAGCCTCCACTGATACAGTTCTAACTACGGTGATACACACTGAGACACACTGAAATGAGTCCCCTAACTGAACGCCTACCGTCAAACATTTTGGCTTGTCCATGCCCGTCATTCTGTAAGCCCCTGAATAGTTTATAGCCTGCGTCAGGGCTGGCGAGCAGCAGCCGGAATCCCTAGACAGAGAAACAGTGGACAAAGACAACATTGGCTGTGTGCTTCATTTGACTTCCTGACAGCTTTACACTATCACATAACCACAGGGCAGCCACAGCCTGCGTCATGTCTAAATGCTTTATGTGCAAATGGACGGCATTAACAATTCTTTGCTTAGAGGCTCTCCATCATTTCTACTCTAGATTACAGAGCATAGTGTTTTTACTCAGATGTTCTAAAAGAGGGGGCAACTATACTTTCCTTGAGGATATTTTTTTTACCTTTTTGTCAGGAGCTGGGACAAAAGTCATGAATTCATCCACATGCCCAACTAGCAGCCAATCAGAGAACAGTGCAATGGGCTCCTGGACTTTCTGTGCCCACAGGAAGTCTTGCACTACTTTGGTCATATTGCGGCCCTTGGTTGCCCTGAAAAGTTAAACAGCCTTATCACCACTGTTCACAGCCATCTCTTTGTTCCAAATATTCATGAATCATTAGCAAGAGATTTATAGAAGGAAGTAGCATCAAGGTTATTTAATTAATAAATCAACTTTGGAGTAAAGGCAAATATTGTTATCTAAAAACCAGACTCTCTTCCTTTGAAGCAACTAACCCCTGGCTATGTTACACTCACGTGGGGAAAGCCACTCCAATTATGATCCTGCCCAGAGGGTATTTTTTTCCATTTACAGTGACTGGAGGGCTAACTTCCAGGTTACCAAATGAGTCCAGGCTGCTCACTTCCTCATCATATGCTGTCCTCGTCACATAGCCAAAGTCTGGGCCCTGAGGGCACCAGGCAGAGTGAGGTTGAGAGTGAGACACAGATCCACCACACCCCTCACAGTACGGAGATAAGCACATTTTAACTCTAGGTGTTGTGAATGCCTTTTCTTACCAGTAGCACATCATAAGGGAAATCCTGTAGTTTTCCATCTCGGGGGGAGTCCAGCACAACAGGGAAACGATGGTGAGGAGAGTCAATGTAGCCAAACTCTATCTCATCCTGAGAGAGAAACCTCTTTTAAATGTCTATTACATTTCTATATTTTTCATGCAGTTAGAAAAAAGACACCGGTCTTTATTCTGATATATCTTATTTAAAACCTAGAGACAAGACTGACAATGATTAGCATTGATGAAAAAGGATGTGAAAAACATATTGTGTTTAAAAAAAAGGTCGGAATTTAAAAAGGTTAAAATGCACAAAACTGCATGAAAGACTAGGAGCTGAATCCCACAGCTTACCTGCATCCAGCGGTCTCCTCTGTTCATGTACTCATGGCAAACCTTCAGCTTGTACCCACTGTCCTCCACCAGCCTCCTCATTCCCTTTAGGAACTGGTAGTTATCAGATGTGCTGGGTAACCAAATGCACAGAAACACTTGTCTAAGTACGTTTACAGCTAGCACCATCATTATTTCCATCAACATCAATGCCATCATCATCATCATCATTTTCTTTTTCATCATCATCTCTCACCTGCAGACGAAGACCTCCACAGGGTTGAGTGTGTTGGGTGTCATGATCCAGGGAGCCACTCGGAACACCACCCTGTCTGTAAATATGGGCGTCTCAGGGAAGCCCTGGCAAAATAATAGAACAAAAACATGAACGAGAGATTCCACGACAGAGGTACAGTATATACCATTTGAAGTTTTAAACTACGAAGAGTAAAAGAGTTCAACTACAATGTACCCGAGAGCTGGGCTCCAGCAGGCTGAGGCTGATGCTGATGAGACCCTCAAAGTCTTTGTCAGGGAACCTCAGGCCCTCAACATATAAATTCATCTCAGCGTTTCCCCCGAGGTATGGGACCTCCTTGGACAAATCCTCACTGCCCAGCACCAGCGGGTAGTCCTTCACAAAGCTATTGTAGAACAGGTTTTCTGCAGCAGTAAATCATGTTTTATAATGATGATCAAATGATTCTCCATTTATATGCATATGCAGTCATAAAACCCTATTGTATACACATTATACATTAATGGACTGCCACAAGAACAAATACAAGATCTGACTGAACAAAATGTCCTTGACTCACTGAGTGTTTGGTGCATGCCTGCTGTGGACCTGGTCCTGAAGACCCTGACACTCTCTGCATCCCCCTGGGAGATGTGCATGGTCAGCTTGTAGCCCTCTGGGAGCTTGGCAGGGCCACTGGTCCGCAGCACCATCGGGGACATGTCTTTCAGATCTGACATTTCACAAATACTGACATTATGGTACATCAAGTGTCAACCCATCAATGTCATCATCAATGTGACAATGTGACAACATAGGTATGACAGTGTGTAATACAACTACTTATCCGAGGAGGATGGTGGTCGAGAAGGAACCATCAAACCAGACCAGACACACCCCTAGCTCAGGCATTTTGTGTTTAGCCAACACAAACACCCACATCCCTACTGCTCTTCTCTGCTGACTCCACACCAGAGACAGAGACCTGCAGCCTTTAAATGTTGATTTATTGCAATGCCTGCAGCACTGTCAGCCTGTCAGCTCAGTGTGCCATGATGACTTGGCTGTTGCTGTTGTTATATACCTGACACTCTGGTGACCTCAGCACGCTCACTGTCCCGCCTTTTCCCATAGGTGCGTTCTGAGTCACAGTTGACCAGTAGGATGGCACCATGACCATTAGGCCCCCACATCCATGATCCCTGTAGAGAGATTCTCTAGTCATTCAGCGACAAGAAATAACACTGCCCTGCCGATTTAGCTTTTCCCAATGTGTTTGCATGAGGTTAGATTAGATTTACAGCTGAGTGGAAAAGCACCATGTTCAAAAGAATTTCCCACTTCCAGGAATATAGCATGAACAGTATTTTGATATACCTATTCATATCAGTGGAAGGCTATGCCCTGTGTTAGTTGACAGATAATTTCCTAGAAGTGCCATGGCAATCTTCCTTTGTATTTTGGAATACAGCATGAACACTAGTCTTCTGACATGCCTATTCATGTTAGAGCGTCTCCTTCTGTACCCTGCTATGTTATGAAACAAAGATAGTGACCTCTGAGCTGAAAGCGACCTGGCTGGACAGACCCAGCAGACATAACTCACCTTGTTGGGGTTGTTCCTCTCCACCTGGCCATCTCGATCAGCATCTACATCCAGAGAAATCTCTACAAGACAGACAGGCCCTTGGTGTCACTTAAGCTCAAGAGCTGCTTTGGGGTCTCAAGTAGCCCAGTGAAATACAAGAATGTACAAATGACAGATTCACAAAGGTATGCTATGAAGGTGGGGGCGGGTGGTAGTTTATATGGGTGTGTTCTCCTATCCTAAGCATAACACAACATACCAACAGCGGTGAGGTGAACGACAGCTTTCCCTAACACCTCCGTCTTCTCTCCATAATACATGACCGATAGCTGCACAACAAAGGACAACATTTACAAAGTTAAGTTAATCTAGAACACTGGTGACTAAGCAGTGGTTGTGTTTTGATGGGGTATTCTATGATATATTAATGTCCAGATATGTACAGTACATTATTTCAGTAGAGAATCTGAACACCTGGCCCATTTTGGAACTGACAAAAAGTATCCTTCAATTCCTTATCAATAGAACTGGCACTGTGGTTAACCACATCACTTTCCACTGTTTCACATCTCTCTGGTATCATGTTGAGAGTGCCACATTTGCATTATTTCAGTGTGGTTTGCACGTCACTCTTAAGAGGTGTAGGAGCTGCAGATACTTGATTTATTTTTCTTATTAACATACTTCCCTGTAGCGTGTTCAGTCCCAAGAGGAAATATTCAACTCTAAATGTGTAGCTATTATTGTTGTAGGAGTGGCCTACTTTATTTACCTTGCTATCATTTACCACTTCGCTGGCAGTGTCCATTGTAATAAGAAGCACTGTATTCCCATTGAGCGTGGTGGGGAGGGGCCCACTCTCCGGTGGGGGTGGGGTGATCCTGTAGTGCACTCTGGGACTGCATTGCACAGAGAAGTACTTTGAGCTAGGAGGGGCACCCCTAGGGGAACAATAAATACACGTGACAGTTACATATCATATCCTGATACTTTGCTTATACAAATCTATAGCAATAACAGAGAAAACACAAGAGGACATATCTATAGTGCAGTGGAGCACCAGCAGTGAGTGCAGTTCAGTCTCCTATTTCCAGAAGCAACAGGTGGCAGTGCTAGTACTAAAGTTACATTGCTACAGTAATCGTAGAAGTATGATGTCTTCTACATGCCTCTAAAATGAGTAACGTACCAAAGGGGGAGAAATACTGGACTATCAACCAACACAAGAATACTGGCAATGAGGATTGTACTTATATGTCAAAGCATCAACCATCATCCCAAGTTGTTATACTCAGTATGACACTTGTTTATAAACATTAGGCTGAGCTGTAAAACCTAACACCTGGAGTCCAGGCTGAGCCCAGGAGGTGGTCCACACCAAAGGAACATTAGGTTTTTGGAGGAGGGATAGTATTTGCCTGAACAACAGAGCTTAGGCTCCTCTAAACAACAGCACAAAGAGAAGTGTTTCTTAACAATAAGTATTGAAGTTGTTACACACACCGATGTTGTGAAACCAACTGTATCTGTTGTGTAATCATACCATGTGGAGTGTCTGATAAACTACCCTCAGCCCTAGTCATGATAGTCCCACAATATGTTTAATTCTTCAGGTTGGCGATTTGTGTTGGGCTTACCACTCTTTTCTATCATGTTAACTTGGAAATAATAGGCTACAGTAACTGCTTATAACCCGAATCGAATTCGGTTGCACTGGAGTCATATGGATTGTCAGCTTGTAAGGACAACAAAGGAGAGTCTGTTGACTAGCAGAAAGACGTGACTGATGCAGACTCCCTCCGCTAAGAACAAGAGGTCTGACTCCTCCGCTGAATACAAATGCCATCCACAAACAGTCCTTTCAGACCAATATTGGGGGCATGATCATCCAACTCCTTCTGCAGTTGGAATATCCAAGAAGTAAAATGACAACAAAATAGTCAGTGGATGTAATCAGTCATTTAAAAATATATTATCACTGCAGGACCTACAAGTGGAATAAGATTATAAAGCAATTAAATTATTATATTCAATTAAATTATAAATAGGTGTAAAAGAAAAATACTATTGACATTTTATTTCATTTACTAGGCTATATTTGAAATGTTAATAACAGCACCACACCCCATTACATTAGACTAATTAAAATCTAATGTGCCATTTTCATTTCACTAATAGCTCTGAATAATAACAAATGAGGGATACGATTTTCCACAAACAATAACAGAGATTGTTGTTAATCAACCGTCCTTACCGATGCATGACATAAGTAAATATTTTATTATATTTTTATAATTAATTGTTTGCTGTAGGCTATGATAAATTAGAGTTGTACCACAATTCCTTCACCCTGATATACAGTATTGGCAGGAAGTAGCTGCATGCTGCTGGGCAGGCTCTCGTGACCAGCTGATTATACAGCAGGTGAATGCCTCGCGACATCTGATGATTGGTTACAAATGGTCTCGCGCAGTTACTGTAACTGTATGCAGCAAGCCCCAATCGGCAATACGAAACATGACAGAGGTGCAACATTGTATTCGCCTTAACAAACGAAATAAAGCAATAGTGTTATTCAGTATTGTGCGCCTCCAAATCGGGGACAAACTACCCAGCTAGCATATAACATTCTGAGAACCATATGTTTCTTTGGGCTTGGTTGTCCTATGGTTATTTTGCAAACAACCTTCCCATAACATTTCCTACAAGTTTCTTCATGGTTCTATTTAAAGTAATGTTCTCAAATTGTTCAGAGAACGTTAAGAAACAACGTTCTTCTGTTGGAATTTCAGTACTTCAGCATAACTTTTCTACATGTTTCCTCATGCTTATATTTAAAGTCATGTTCTCAGAACATTCAGAGAATGTTAAGAAACAATGTTCTGTGGGAATTTCAGTACTTCAGCATAATGTTTTCTACAGGTTTCCTCATAGTTCTATTTAAAGTAATGTTCTCAGAATGTTCAGAGAACATTAAGAAATAACGTTCTTCTGTGTGAATTCCAGTACTTCAGCATAGCGTTTTCTTAATGTTCCCTCATGGTTCTATTTAAAGTCATGTTCTCAGAACATAAAGACAACTTTCCATAAAAAACACCAGAAAACATTAGTAACGTTTAAAGAACTTTGTAAGAATGTTATTTAAAACATATACATTTCGTTCTCAGCATCAACAAAATTCTCTCTATCCTCTATCTTGTTAAGTGTGTTCAGGTGTGTTGGCCACGCCTACTAATTGGCCACACCTGATCTTAATGAGTGCTTGTTTTCTTTGAAATAGGGTCTGTTTGAATAGGCTAAAATGAACAGCTTTGTTTGAGTAAAAACAAACATGGCATGCTAGCTCCATCCTGGAGCTATGAATTTCTATCTGTGCTTGTAGTTCAAAACAGTTAACCCAAATGAAGCGAGCAGCCTTATTGAAAAATTTTCTCATAACTTTATTTAATTACCTTCAAATAACCTATAATTTCTGTTCTCGGAATGTTAATAAAATCTCATAGGAAAACGTTTAGGGAACCATAGAAAAACGTTCTCAGAACTTCCCTACAAATTAAAAATGTATGTTCATAGAACAGGCAACATTTTCACTTCCATTCTCTGAACGCTTAAAAAACGTTCCGTTTTAACCGTCAGGAATATTATGGCTTGGTTCCCAGAACCAATGGGAAACCAAAAACGTATGTTCCCACAACTTCCAAGGAACCAAATGTGCTAGCTGGGTAGGCTACTGAGAGATAATCCCCAAATAGTTTATATAGCAGTACATAACTGGTGAAACAATGTATTGCCATACAACATTTTTTTTTCTATGTCAAATATAGTATTGTCACTCTACCGTGTTATAGGCTACACTGTAGCCAACAACAGCCTACTACCACCTGAATACATCTATTGGTGCAGTAGCCTAGCTAGCATAGATACACACACTCACCTGTTTAGGTTCGCTTTCAACACTGTGCCAACAACGTAAAGAGCCGTCGAAGTTTTCTCAATGTCGAGACGAAATGTCTGTTGATACAGTACTGGCATGTTGGTTGCTTTAATCTTATTAAGGTGCTGAAGGAGATTAGGGTGCATGGTCATAGAAACTTGCTCCTGTGAAACATCCATGGTGATACAGTCCACTGCAGAGGAGCAGAATGATGGAATACGATATGGCGGTGGAGGGTAGGCTTGGCCCTATTGTTAAGGGGGTGTTTTCCTGCCAGTAATTTGAGGCAGAGAAGGCTGCAATTACCCAGCAAACCAAACATGTGTCAACTTGCATAGCAGTCGGCACTTGAATAGCAACAGGATAATGTAGGCATAGGCCTAGACTATGCATACAGTATACATTTCGTTGTCACACTGATTGTCATGTTGAAGGCTATATTTGAATCACAAAAATATGTCCTAAAAATCAATCCCTGCCCTAAAAGCTATGCAGTCGTTAGACATTAGGCTCTGTACAGAGCCTAGGAATCTGGACCTACATGGCACCATTCATTGTCCCCTCACCTGGACTGTACGTACATTTTCTAACCAGAAGCCATGGATTACAGGCAACATCCGCACTGAGCTAAAGGCTAGAGCTGTCGCTTTCAAGGAGCAGGACACTAATCCGGACACTTATAAGAAGTCCTGCTAAGCCCTTCGACGAACCATCAAACAGGCAAAGGGTCAATACAGGACTAAGATCAAATCGAAACAAGGAGCTGATCGTGAACTACACACGCCCCCATTCACATCGACGGGGCTGTGGTGGAGCGGGTCGAGAGCTTTAAGTTCCTCGTGTCCACATCACTAAGAATCTTTCATGGTCCACACACACCAACACAGTCGTGAAGAGGGCACGACAACACCTCTTCCCCCTCTGGAGGCTGAAAAGATTTGGCATGGGCCCTCAGATCCTCAAAAAGTTTTACAGCTGCACCATTGAGAGCATCTTGACTGGCTGCATCAACACTTGGTATGGCAACTGCTTGGCATCCGACCGCAAGGCGCTACAGAGGTTAGCGCGTATGGCCCAGTACATAACTGGCACCGAGCTCCCTGCCATCCAGGACCTCTATACCGGTGTCAGAGGAAGGCCCTAAAAATTGTCAGACGCCAGCCACCTGGACTGTATGACTTGGGCGCTGATGCACCAAGTCTGGAACCAACAGGACCCTGAACAGCTTCTACCTCCAAGCCATAAGACTACTAAATAGTTAGTCAAATTGTTAACCAAATAGCTACCCAGGCTATCTGCATTTAGCCTTTTTGCACAAATGTGTTTTACTCATCAAATATGATGCTGCTACTGTTTATTATCTGTCACTTTATTCCTAGTTATATGTACATACTGTATCTACCTCAATTACCTCGTACCGCTGCACATCGACTCGGTACTGGTACCCCATGTATATAGCCAAGTTATCATTACTCATTGTGTATTTATTATTACTTTTATTATTACATGTTTTACTTTTCTTTCTCTTTGCATGGTTGGGAAGGGCCCATAAGTAAAAATGTCACTGTTAGTCTACACCTGTTGTTTACGTAGCATGTGACAAATACAATTTGATTTGATGGGGACTTGGGGATCTGGTGACTCAGGGTGATTGTTCCTTCAAATGGGCAGCTTTCTCTGATACCACTGGGTGGCTCTTTATTTCACTCTACCAAATGAATGATGATGAGCACAAATGGTACAAGTTTAAGGACTATTCTTTTGTAAACCAACATAAACCAGTTAGCATATCAACTAGTTACACTCAGAATAAAATGCCAGAGACCAAGTACAGGAATAATAGTAATACAAGTGGGGGAAAAAAGTATTTAGTCAGCCACCAATTGTGCAAGTTCTCCCACTTAAAAAGATGAGAGAGGCCTGTAATTTTCATCATAGGTACACGTCAACTATGACAGACAAATTGAGAAAAAAAAATCCAGAAAATCACATTGTAGGATTTTTAATGAATTTATTTGCAAATTATGGTGGAAAATAAGTATTTGGTCACCTACAAACAAGCAAGATTTCTGGCTCTCACAGACCTGTAACTTCTTCTTTAAGAGGCTCCTCTGTCCTCCACTCGTTACCTGTATTAATGGCACCTGTTTGAACTTGTTATCAGTATAAAAGACACCTGTCCACAACCTCAAACAGTCACACTCCAAACTCCACTATGGCCAAGACCAAAGAGCTGTCAAAGGACACCAGAAACAAAATTGTAGACCTGCACCAGGCTGGGAAGACTGAATCTGCAATAGGTAAGCAGCTTGGTTTGAAGAAATCAACTGTGGGAGCAATTATTAGGAAATGGAAGACATACAAGACCACTGATAATCTCCCTCGATCTGGGGCTCCACGCAAGATCTCACCCCGTGGGGTCAAAATGATCACAAGAACGGTGAGCAGAAATCCCAGAACCACACGGGGGGACCTAGTGAATGACCTGCAGAGAGCTGGGACCAAAGTAACAAAGCCTACCATCAGTAACACACTACGCCGCCAGGGACTCAAATCCTGCAGTGCCAGACGTGTCCCCCTGCTTAAGTCAGTACATGTCCAGGCCCATCTGAAGTTTGCTAGAGTGCATTTGGATGATCCAGAAGAGGATTGGGAGAATGTCATATGGTCAGATGAAACCAAAATAGAACTTTTTGGTAAAAACTCAACTCGTCGTGTTTGGAGGACAAAGAATGCTGAGTTGCATCCAAAGAACACCATACCTACTGTGAAGCATGGGGGTGGAAACATCATGCTTTGGGGCTGTTTTTCTGCAAAGGGACCAGGACGACTGATCCGTGTAAAGGAAAGAATGAATGGGGCCATGTATCGTGAGATTTTGAGTGAAAACCTCCTTCCATCAGCAAGGGCATTGAAGATGAAACGTGGCTGGGTCTTTCAGCATGACAATGATCCCAAACACACCGCCCGGGCAATGAAGGAGTGGCTTCGTAAGAAGCATTTCAAGGTCCTGGAGTGGCCTAGCCAGTCTCCAGATCTCAACCCCACAGAAAATCTTTGGAGGGAGTTGAAAGTCTGTGTTGTCCAGCGACAGCCCCAAAACATCTCTGCTCTAGAGGAGGTCTGCATGGAGGAATGGGCCAAAATACCAGCAACAGTGTGTGAAAACCTTGTGAAGACTTACAGAAAACGTTTGACCTGTGTCATTAACAAAGTATTGAGAAACTTTCGTTATTGACCAAATACTTATTTTCCACCATAATTTGCAAATAAATTCATAAAAAATCCTACAATGTGATTTTCTGGAGAAGAAAAATCTCATTTTGTCTGTCATAGTTGACGTGTACCTATGATGAAAATTACAGGCCTCTCTCATCTTTTTAAGTGGGAGAACATGCACAATTGGTGGCTGACTAAATACTTTTTTTCCCCCACTGTATGAGTAAATAAGATAGATAGTCACTGCAACCAATAAGTTAGGGATAATGAACTGCACTCAATCGGTTATGAAAAATGCTTTCAATTCACCATAAATAGTCTTAACCAACACCAATGTTACATACAAGTTCAAACTTTCAATATCAATATCACACTTAAAAGGTCAAAACACACTAGGCCTTACCCAACTAACAATTCTAGAGCGAGAGAGGCCTTACATATCTAACTATTCTAGTGAGAGAGAACGTTTTTGTAATGTTACCCATAATGTTCCACTAATGTTTGAGTGTCCAGTTTTACATAATAATAATAATAATAATAACAATAATAATAATAATAATAATAATAATAATAATAATAATATGCCATTTAGCAGAACCCTCAAACATGTTTGTCCTGCTGGAAGGTGAACATCAGTTAGGGGAACATTCTATCTATGTTAGCAAAAACCTTCTGAGAACCTTTTTAGCATGTTCTGGTGTTAGAGTTAGGAGAACATTCCCTTAATGTCGTAATCAGCAGTTGCTACATCCATTTTTGGACTTATGAATGATACAGTGGCTTGCGAAAGTATTCACCCCCCTTGGCATTTTTCTGATTTTGTTGCCTTACAACCTGGAATTAAAATAGATTTTGGGGGGGTTTGTATCATTTGATTTACACAACATGCCTACCACTTTGAAGATGCAAAATATTTTTTATTGTGAAACAAACAAGAAAAAAAAAAAAAAAAAACGGAAAAACCCCCAAAAGTCAATACTTTGTAGAGCCACCTTTTGCAGTAATTACACCTGCAAGGCGCTTGGGTATGTCTCTATAAGCTTCGCACATCTAGCCACTGGAATGTTTGCCCATTCTTCAAGGCAAAACTGCTTCCAGCTCCTTCAAGTTGGATGGGTTCTGCTGGCGTACAGCAATCTTTAAGATTCTCAATTTGATTGAAGTCTGGGCTTTGACTAGGCCATTCCAAGACATTTCAATGTTTCCCCTTAAACCACTCGAGTGTTGCTTTAGCAGTATGCTTAGGGTCATTGTCCTGCTGGAAGGTGAACCTCTGTCCCAGTCTCAAATCTCTGGAAGACTGAAACAGGTTTCCCTCAATAATTTCCCTGTATTTAGCGCCATCCATCATTCCTTCAATTCTGACCAGTTTCCCAGTCCCTGCTGATGGAAAACATCCCCACAGCATGATGCTGCCACCACATGCTTCACTGTGGGGATGGTGTTCTCGGATTGATGAGAGGTGTTGGGTTTGCACCAGACATAGCGTTTTCCTTGATGGCCAAAAAGCTCAATTTTAGTCTCATCTGACCAGAGTACCTTCTTCCATATGTTTGGGGAGTCTTCCACATGCAAACGTGTTTGCTTATTTTTTTCTTTAAGCAATACCTTTTTTTCTGGCCACTCTTCCGTAAAGCCCAGCTCTGTGGAGTGTACGGCTTAAAGTGGTCCTATGGACAGATACTCCAATCTCCGCTATGGAGCTTTGCAGCTCCTTCAGGGTTATCTTTGGTGTCTTTGTTGCCTCTCTGATTAGTGCTCTCCTTGCCTGGTCCGTGAGTTTTGGCGGGCGGCCCTCTCTTGGCAGGTTTGTTGTGGTGCCATATTCTTTCCATTTTTTAATATTGGATTTAATGGTGCTCCGTGGGATGTTCAAAGTTTCTGATATTTTTGTATAACCCAACCCTGATCTGTACTTCTCCACAACTTTGTCCCTGACCTGTTTGGAGAGCTCCATGGTGCCGCTTTCTCGGT